AACAAAGGTGGTGTTTGCTTAATAAACTCCAAGCCTTGAGGGGCAATGGCGGAGGGTATGAACATAACCAGGAAGACGTGGAAGAAAGGCCAGGCTGAGAACTCCAAAGCTAATCTTTGCTGCTTTGCCATTTTCCAAAGACCAGCCCTATTTGGCTTCTGCTGTGCACATGCACCCAGCCCTGCTATCTTTGCCCATCATTCATGGGAAAAACTTGTTGGAAGTTCATTCTGAATCAGAGAGGTAGGGTTGAAGTGGTGGCCTGTAGGAGTGTGTGGAATTTTAAGGGTTCATGAGTGAATTTTCAGGGGCTCTGGCACCCCTGAAATTACACATAAATATTTTGTGTGTATAGGCATAAGTGTATTTTTGTGTATGGAAAGAGGTTCTAATTAAGACTTTCATCAGATTTTGAAAGGGGCCATAAATGATCTCAAAGGGCTGAGAATCACTGGGCAGTTCTAGTTCAGCTCAGGGTGCCTGAGGCTCCATGTTCAGGTCTGTGTGTTCCCAGATCATTCTAACCCCAGGTCAGTTCACTGACAATCTCCTTGGTAACAGCTAGGTCACTAAGTATCTCTTCCTCCCCAGCAGCCACCCTCACTACCTAATCTGAGGATTATGCTAGCAAAGCTGTCAGGCTTAATTTCAGCAAATTGTTTTGGGTAATTAGTCCCTTTTAATTGCTCATGGAAATAGTAATTTTAGGTGACAAGATTATTGTATGCTACTTGTTAGTGGATTCTCCAGGGTCAAGAAAACAGCACTGAGACTGCTATGACCTGTTCTTTTCTATCTTTGGCATTCCCCTTGAAATCCAGAAAAGACATTTAGTAAAGTCGGTTCCCACTCTGTAAAAAGTATAGAGCACTGGTTTTCTTTTATCCTTTTGCCAAAGCGAAGGATTAGAGAAGGACTTTCAACTTTTCTGTGCTACTGCCAGCCCATGTCAGGCTTCACAGACTTGCTGATCATTAACTTGAAAAGTTGTGGGAAGTTTCTAGCTCTTCCATTTTCTTGTTTCCCTGTATAGCCAAGTTGCTTTACACCTGACTGAGTTTTGAATAAATAGGGTCCTAGGTGATGAACTATTTGACTCAGCTCAAGTTGAGTATTTCATTGCTCTTCATGTCACTGAACAAGAGGGTCAGTCTGACCGATGGGTCAGGGCAGGTTGGCCTAGTGGTTCACCACGTGCTAACTCAGGGGAGAAATGGTGGAAGGTGGAGAACTCTTATTAGTTTAGGAAGCTAGGAGTTGATTGGCTATGACTATCTGTGTAATACTCGGCCATTTGGTTGACCTTTCTAAACCCTTATTTAATAATCCGTCAAAAGGGGACAAAAATAATACCTAGCTCAAGGCACAGCTGTAAAGGATTAAGTGATACCATAAATGCTTGGCATGTAGCAATAAGTAAGTCAAACAAAAAAGACACATGGATTGGAGAAATGTGGAGAAATACATAGAGAAAATATTTCTAAACTGATACATCTGATAAAAGATGATATACAGAATATACAAGGAACTCAAACAACTCAATAGAAAGAAAACAAATTAAGAAATGGGCAAAGGATCTGAATAGTTTCTAAAAGAAGACATGCAAAAGGCCAATAGATATATTTAAAAAATGCTCAACCTCACTAGTCATCAGGAAAATGTAAATTAAAACTATGGTAAAGTATCACTTCATACCTGCTAGAATGGCCATAATAAAAAAAGACAAAAGATAAAAAGTGCTCACAGGATGTGGAAGAAAGAGGATCCTTAAATGCTGTTGATGGGAATGTACATTAGTACATCAGTTATGAAAACAGTATGGTGGTTCTTCAAAAAACTAAACATAGGATTACCATATCACCTAGCAATCCCACCGCGGAGTACATATCTGAAGGAATTGGTATCAGTGTGCTGTAAACAGACATCTGCACTCCCATGTTTATTATTATTCTCAATAGCCAAGGTATGGAATCAACCCAAGTGTCCATCAACAGATGGACAGATTTTTTAAAATGTGGTATGTATACACAATGGAATACTATTTTGTCTTGAAAAAGAAGGAAATTCATTTGCAACAAGATGGATGAATTTGGAGGCTATGAAGTGAAATAAGCCAGGCACAGATAGACAAATGCTGTATGATTTTACTTATATGTGGAATCTAGAAAAATCAAACTCATAGAAGCAGAGTAGAATGGTGGTTACCAGAGGATAGGGGAGAGGGATGGGGAATGAAGAGAAACTGGTCAAAGGGTGCAATATTTCAGTTACAAGAAGGATTAAGTTTGAGTGATCTATTGCATGGCATAGTGATTACAGTTAGTAATTATACCGAAAAATCTCTAAAAGAGATTTTATTTTTTTCCCACAAAAATGCAAGTATATAAGATGATGTGTGAATTAGCTTAATCATTTTATAATGTATACATGTATCAAAACATCACATTGTACCTCATAATTATATGCAATTACTATTTGTCATTTAAAAATAAAGACAGCATGTACAATTATAATTACAGTATACTACTTCTTCCTAAAGCTAGATCTTACAAAGAAGTCTAAAGTAGCAGACAGGTCAAAGAAATAAACATTACACTCATGCCCAACTCTCTCCATGCCTTCAAAGTTTGTTAATGCAGACACATCTAATCACATACGCACTGAAATCCTTTTTAAAATTATGCAGATTCAGGTGGAGATTATCACACTGTTAGCAATTCAAAGTGGCTAACACTGATTTCAATGTGGGTAACTGTATTCCTTGAAGTCAAAGATTTGATGTGAAACTGACAATAAAGAATTCATGTGGCAGTCAATTTTTCTCACTGATGAAACCAAAGACATTGCCCTTATGACAACTTTTCAAAAATGACAGTTTCATTTTTTTAAAAAGTTTGTTCTTTTTCCTCTAGTTTCTATCTATCATAAGATTTCATTCTCATTCTTTAGAAATTAAATGCTAATACAGTTGCTCTTTCATGGTGCTGCTTCTTACATTTAAGCATTTCAAATCATGTTTTATCCTCTCAAATTTCATGAGTGCCAGTACTTACCTTTATTGGTAATTCTTGAGGTCAGTGTTCTATATCTCTTCTGTATTTACTTTTCTCTTCAGCAAGGGCTGCAATGCAGCAGGCAAACTCAAACATTCCACCAAGAAGTAAAATGTCACCTTGGAAATAATGGCTAGGTCTCCAGTTATCTCCTCCAGCAAGAAGATCCTCCTCTAAGAATTGGAAATAGGATAGAAAGCTGGAGATGGCGTGTCTCAGATTGCAAAGCTTTCTGCTTGTTCTCATCTTGAACATGATGCTTCCCTGAGCCTTCATCTAGTCAATTGTGGAGTAAAAGAGGAAGGCGGAGTGTCTGTAATAATTTCAGTTAACTTATTTAAATCAAGTGTTTGGTGGGATTCCACAGTGAGACCAGAAGGTTCAGTAGGTTGTGTCTACATTACCAAAAAACAAACAAACAAACAAAAAACGCAAAGTACAAGCGGCTAATGCTTCTACAGAAAAGATGACCCCATTCCTTTCATCATTTGTGCTAATTTCTCTTCTAGCTGCTGTGGTCTGTGTGATGCTTCTTGACAGACTTGACTATGATCAGATCAACCTGCCTCACGATGTCCTGGTAGAGTACCAGCAACGGCCTCAGCTCCTAATCTCCAACTTCATCAAACGGCGGCTTGGACTTTGTGACTATAGACGTCCTAATGGGGCAACCCAAATCTCCCCTGCCAAGTTTGTAGCTCAGGTTTTAATGCGAAAGTCATGTATTATTTGAGGCATTCTTATATAGTTCTCATCCACATGCTAAAATAATAATGGAGAGACTTTATGAAATCCTTCTCTCTTAAAAAAGGAATTTATTGTAGAATAATTTAATACTCATGTTAAATTAAATTCAAATTTCATTTAGAAAAGTTAACTAAATCGGTTTAATAATTAAAGTTTAAAAACTCCTGGATTATGCCATTTGGACTTTCATATGCAGCATTAATTAAGTTCATATCAAAATAGATCAGCCATTTGCAGATACAGTTACCAGTCACTCTGTTTCTGAAACCAATCCAGAAATTCATGTTAGAACATTGTCAGGCACTTCTATGTATTGGATGAGTGACAGAAACTGATCATCCACATTCAAAATATTTACAGAAAAACGTGTCAGTGTAATATAGGTCTATGTGGAAAAGTTACCATTAGGAAAATATGGCCACACTTCTTTTTTACCCCTGCGCAATTTCACTGCACCACAGAATAGGATACGAGATTTACATATGCCTGTCTGTGATTTTATTTTGGAATTTAACATCTCTGGAGTACAGTTTCCTTTTAACTGAAAACCCTCAGTAATGCAAAGAAAGGCCTTCTTTTTTCTTCGGAATCACAAGTGACTAAATTGCTTTCTAGACATTTTTTTCTTTTAAAAAATGTGTTTTGAGGAGGCTGTATTTTTAAATTCCATTTCAATATTAACCAAATAGGCTGAGAATTTGTAGCAATTGAATTGACTCGAGTTCAAGATGTTAAAGGAATCCTTTTGTGTGTTCTCGAGGCAGGTCTTGTCCAGACTGGCCTATTGCCCTACCTGCTTGATCCTCTGGGAGGCATGGTGCTCCTCCAGGCTGCACAGGTTCTCTGTGAACTGACTGCATCTTGGGTTCTTCTCAATCTGACATACTTGGGAGTTGAAATGGTGGGGTAGGGGCTGGGTGGAGGATGACTTGCACACTTGTATAGTATGTAATGTTGTGTACATATATTTATGTGGTTGTGGCTCAAATAAAGTTTAATTCCAATACAGTACAGATTATTTGGTTCCCAGAGACATTGCCACAGGTGACAGAATGGAGGCTTGGGGGAGAATTCCATGATCATAGAAAACAGATCCTAGGATGGTTGAGTCTGAATTGTCCTGCTTCTTTGTGGGGAATGGTTTTCTCTTTTAAGCAATGACAATAAACAAGAGGTGCTTATCATCACCAATAAACAATCTCTCAAGAGGTACATTGGGTTGTGAACTTCTTTTTGGGACCAAAGACACTTTAAGTGCTGTTTTTAGGGTATCCCAGTAATTGACCATCAAATACAAAGATCAGAGCTAAAAGCAAGCTACAATAGCATTGCAGTCATTTTCTGGTGGAGTTTTTACTTTGTTTCATAGTTTTTTAGAGAAAGTAGTGGAAACCACCTCAGAGTGGTTCTATAAGCCTTCAGTTTGAACTTTTAACTGCCTGCTCCTGGACAATCTTTTTTTTTTTTTACAGGGAGAAGGAGAGGCTGTGGGTGGAAGAGGAATGAAATAACTACAGTTAATCTTCTCAACTCCTGCTAGGAATGAGTACGTGTGTGTACACAGATGCACACTTGCATGTATTTGTGTCTGTGTCTTTCTCACTAGTATTTCCTATCTCAGTAAACGATATCAGTTGCACAAGCCAGGAACCTGGGAAACCTCTGTGATGATTCTTTCTCCTTAATTCCCACAGCCAATCAATCACTAAGTCTTATTAATCGATCCTCCTAAATATTCCCCCAGTCTGTTTCCTTTCTTTCATCTTTTTGGCACCCAGCCTAGTCCAGGCCACCATGATCTCTCCTCCAGATCACTGAGGAAGCCTCGCCCCTGATCACCCTGCCTCCATTCTTGAAATTTGATTGGGTTATTTTCCTGTTTCAAAGCCTTCACATTAGTCTTAGACTGAAGACCAAAGCCCTCTGTACAGCTTAGGCATTCCCGACTGGCCCAGCTTCGTAGCCCAGCTCACCTTGCCCACTTATTCCCCTTGTTTCTGCCCTCCAGGCACGTCAGCCTTGGTTCTTCAGTCTTACCCAGGGCACAAATTCACAAAGGCACAATCGCATGGGAAGGACTGCCTACAGATTCATCCAATGGGACTGCTTAGCTGCGGGGAAAGTGGGACTGAGATCCACCCTATCCAGTTAGCTCTGTGACCTGGACAGGGTGGATCTCAGTCCACTCTGGGCCGCATCCACTGAGAGGGGTCTTTTCCTGATTTACACAATGGTGTTATATGGGATAGTGGGGACTCTCAGTGCCAATGCCCCTTCCCATTTCAGAGCTTTTTGCCATCTGTTTTCCCTGAAGCTCCCTCACTTAACTCATGCTCATGGTTTAAATCTCATCTCAGAGTTCCCTCCCTGTGGAAAGCCTTTCCGATCCTCAAACCAGATTCCTTCCATGCTCACCCATAGGCCCTCTCCACAGTCCCCTCTACTGCTTCTTCAAAGTACACAGCTTGCAACTATGTCATGACTGGGGTCACTATTTAATTAATGCCTATTGTCTAGACTAAAAGGTTCTGGAGAACAAAGACTGCACGTATTTTATTTGCATCTGTTGCCCCAAGCACCTAAAACAGTACCAGATACATACTAGGTACTCAATAAATACTTGTCAAGTGAAGAATGAATCCCTTTCACAGCATTTCCCTTGTAAACTCTCACTATCTCACAGTGTTTGCAAGACTCATGCTTTCCTTACTCAGGCCTGGTCAGCACAGCTCTCCCTGGCTGTTCCTCCCACTGCATCTCATTCTGTGGGAAGGAAAGTCCTCTGTACCATCAGCATACATCTGTGGCACTGTCTAGAACCTCTTGTTTTCTCATATGCACACAGTTTTCCCCTCTGTCAAAACCAAGCCCCAGATTCATCACCCCTGGGGAGGTTCAATTTCTCCTTGAGTCATCACTTCTTTCTTCTTTTCTTGAGAACTAGATTTGCACTAGGAAGACAGGAATTTGTTCTCATGCAGATGCTGTATTGAGAAATTTATCCTTTCTCATGTTCCTGGCTGTCTTCATTCGGGAGGCTCACATTTCCTTTATACTTTTAGCATGTAATCGTTTTGTCCTCTACAGGTATCTTCTGACTGCTTACCTATGCATGCTCCAGGTATGCATAGGTAAAATGAAGGGAAAATTTTTTTACCTCACCTGTAACATGCTTCTCTACTCATTCACTCTTGGCCTCTTTAAACACCCTTCAAGAAGCAGATTGGCCTGCCAAAACCCTCTTCCAGTCACTTCTATGTATGTTTGTGTGCATTTTTTGCATTTTTTTCTTTTGTTCATTCTTTATAAATATATATTCCTCTTTCTTCCCCAATAGAATCTGAGACAGCTTACAAGGTTGAATAGTAACACATCAAGATAATATAAGTGAGAACTAAGTGGGCAAGAAAAGGAAAAGCAAAGGGAAGGAGCAACAACTGGGACAAGCCTGAAGCTAGTGCTCCTGTGATCCCATAGACTGTGCATCAGCGGGACACGGACCCTGAATTGGCTTGGGGCCAGCTAGCAGTTGCTTCATAAACAGAACAAATTTATAGCATCTCTAAAATGAAAATGCAAACTAATGACAAGGAGAAAAACAACTAGTCCTAATTCTGAGAGGCCACAGTGTGCAGAGATGAGTGTGGATCTTAGACTGCCTGGGTGTGGAGTTGAGGGATGAACCTCGGCTGGGGTCAGTGTGTTCACTCCGGGACACCGCCCTGAGGTTCTCAACACGGGTGCATACTGGATCTCCAGGGAAGCCTTTTGAAATCACTGTTCAGAGCTCCACCTCAGACCAACTCAACAAGAATCTCTGGGAGTGAGACTGGGAAGCTCTATTATTTTTATTATTTTTTTTGAAATGGAGTCTTGCTCTGTTGCCCAGGCTAGAGTGCAGTGGCATGATTTCAGCTCATTGCAACCTCTGCCTCCCAGGTTCAAGTGTTCTCCTGCCTCAGCCTCCCAATAGCTGAGACTACAGGCATGTGCTGCTGCGCCCAGCTAATTTTATTTTATTTTTTTGTATTTTTTATTAGAGATGAGGTTTTGCCATGTTAGCCAGGATGGTTTCAATCTCCTGACCTTGTGATCCGCCTACCTCAGCCTCCCAAAGTGCTGGGATTACAGGCGTGAGCCACCGTGCCTGGCCAGGAAGCTCTATTTTTAAAATGTCCCCTAATGACATGCAGCCTAAGTTAAGGGTTACCAATTTAGGAGAATGGACAGTCTGTGACTCTAGCAGGTGCTCTTCCAGCCGAATTTCTAAAACTTTTTAGGCCTTGCCCATACTGGAATAGTTATATAAAGATCAAGTTCTTTTACTTGACTCACTCCTTGATGCTAGTGACAGTATCTTATTCATTTTATATCCCAGCAACTTGTAGTGTCTCACACATAGTAAGACTGAAAGGATTTTACATATGTACATAACAGTTTACAATTGACATAACATGTGGTATATTAAAATTACATATAATTATAATGACATATAATTATACATTTTACATGATATATTAATATATAACTAATTCAATTTTACTATGTATGTATATATATGCACATATATATTTGGTATGTATATATATTCATACATATACACATAAATATGCGTGTGCATGTGTATATGATATATGAAAATGATATATATACAAAAAAATTAAAACACCCCAATGAAAGCTGAAACAAAAATGAACAAAATTACAAAAATTAATAAATAACAAACAGTGGCTGACTACTTCTCAGGGTAATTTTTATGCAAACATCACCTGATCAAGTCTTCAGAGCAACATGTATATATTAGTCAATATAATTTGCTTTTCTATTCCATGTTTCATTCCCAAACATCGGCACAGTAAACAGTCAAGTTTAATCATTGCTTAGAAAAACTCAATCTGTGGTCCAAAATACACAAAATAACATTTTTGCCTTATTTTTATCAGCTATAGACCGTTATCTAGTGCATTGCATCCTGTAGAGGCTTCATAAGAGATGTAAACTAACAACTTCAGGAATATAACAGTTTGAATTTTATTTCTTTCTTTTACAAACACAGTTCTTAACATTTGGGATTCATTTTGGAGACCCCTGATAAAATCTGTGGACCCGATGTGCAGGAAAACGCACACTCATAGATATATCCCTAAAACTGCATGTATTTTCATGGGTTTGTGCACCTTCCTCAGGCCAGGTTGCGGCAGGACATCTATGTCCTCTACCAAAGGAGGCCACAGCTCCCGTGGGTGGCCATTGCCACGCTGCTGCCCTCCCTGGGTTCTGGTAATTGCCCCGCTTCGGCCCTGTTGGATCATGGCTGGTAACAGTTGTTTCCAGCTGCATCTTCATCCCTTGTTGCTCCCTAAATCCTGCCCATCCATTTGTAAACAGTCCCTTCAGTAAGTTCTCTCAGTTCCCTGTTTAATTATGCCATCTGGTTCCTGCTGGGACCCAGGAATACAGCCTCTAAAATACATCTGGGGACCAAAATCATTGTGAAAATCACTGACTTAAGAAACTGAAGTCATTCTATATGAAGATCTTTCAATTATACATTTTTAAATTGCAAAACAGAAGCTAGTTCTTTATTTAATGGTAGAATGCTTTTAAAAATATAATCTTCTGTTCAAGAATGTATTCTTTTATTTAGAGATTCTCATGAACTCTCCAGGGCCTGCAGCTTGAGAAACATTGTGCTCGACTTATTTTCCTGGCTGGCTGCTGGGCATCACATGCATGATAGAATTGAAAACTCGAGTAAAAGACAGATTAATGGCCTTTACTGTTTGCCTCTAAGCTACAAGTTCCGTCATCCTGTCATGGAAGGATATTAAAATTGTCTGACACATACTGAGTTTCATAAAGCCACACTGTTCCTCTCCAGGACCCTGTGTGCCTCTAGATGTCTATACCATAAAGAGATTTTTTTTTTTGAGGATTTGATCAACAATCTTTACCTCAGGATTGGAGCTAAGTAAACTAATCTTTAATTGTTAAGGTCTCCCTTTGTTCCTTTAAAAAATAAATGAGTTATACATGTTTCTTTCTTCCTAATCCTCCAGGACTTTCTCCGTCTTTTAATGATCCTAAAACAATAGCCAGTGACTCTGCAAACCACTGTCTCCTAAAATGAATAACTGGAAAAATGTACCATTTGCAATCTGCTTCATTATTCATATCTCAATGATTTTCTCCATTTCTGATTTTTTTCACTTCTCTCACTCAGAAGTCATTTAATCTAGAATCAATTTAACAATTGTTTTTCTAAAAAACTGAGCATAGCAGTTTTCACTGGCGAACAAAAGCCCTTAAGCCACTTTTGCCCCTTGAAACATTAAGCATGATTTAAATATTATTTTTTATTAGTATAAAGTAGGTTAGAAATTAATTAGGCAAACAACTTAGACCAATATCATATTTTGCAGAGGACTGGTCTAGAATTACTCCACCAAAAAGTAGTGCTTTAGGATTGTGTCTGTTTTTCTAAATTTATAATATTTCTTGGACAAGCCATTCCATCTACAGTAGCTTAACTGTTAACACTGTGAAGCACTGTGGATATTCTAGGGTTACAGACATTATCTGAGTCATCGGATTTTGCCCATCCCTTGTTAAAACAGGAAGATGGATCTTTAAAAATCTAGATGCTTTTCATATCCAAATCAATTTATTTTTTTCTTTTGAGTTCAAGTTTGCATGTTTCCTACCAGCATTCCAACCAATAAAAACCAATGATAAATTGAAATAAAATGTCACTCAGGTTCCATGTACTCTGGGTAAATAATCAGCAGTTACCACGAGCCTTCTATTCAGATGTTTCCTACACTTCACCGTCCTATCTTCAGTGCTATCTTCTTCCATCCACTAGGACCCCAGAGAACTCACCACTTTCTCTCTCTCTCTTTTTTTTGAGCTGGATTTTCACTCTTGTTGCCTAGGCTGGAGTGCAATGGCACAATCTCTGTTCACTGCAACCTCTACCTCCTGGGCTCAAGAAATTCTCTTGCCTCAGCCTCTCAAGCAGCTGGGACTGCAGGCATGTACCACCACGCCTGGCTAATATTTTGTATTTAGTAGAGACAGGGTTTCCCCATGTTGGTCAGGCTGGTTTGAACTCCTGACCTCAGGTGATGCACCTGCCTTGGCCTCCCAAAGTGCTGGGATTACAGGCATGAACCACCATGCCCAGCCAGGACTCACTTCTTAAAGAGCCAGTCCCACAACAGGTTTAAGACTGCAATACTATGAACTCGCTCCAAGTAAACAATCAAAGGACAGAACAAATATATTTATAAAAAATCTACTTTCTGTAAGTCACAAGGCTAGGTGTTATGAAAGAACAAGCCACTGCCAGTTCCATAAAGCAATTTGCAACCTAATAAGTTCAAGGCACTAAGACAAATGTGTGGATAACTATAAATCAAAGGATGATCTGATAGCCCCCAAAAGAGAGGTAGAAATAAAAGTGTTCTGAGAGGTTAAAGAAAGAAAATGATACTATAGAGCCGAGAGGGTTGGAAAGGGTTTCTTGGCTAAGGTGGTTATTTGAGATGATCTTTACTTAAGGGTATCATTTTGATAGAGATTCTGGGGGAGGTGCTGTCCCTAAAAGGAAAAGCATTAAACAAGAAAAAATGAGGAAAATACAGGACATATGACTAGAGTGTTGAAGAATCCTGGTTGGCTGAATCTGGAAAAGTATTTTGGGAGTCTATTAGGCAGGGTTCTAAAAGTCAGGTTAAGAAGATTGGACCATATTGGCCAGGCAATGGGAAGTCGTTAAAAAGTGTAGAAGCACTGGTTCTTTCTCAGATAAAGACCACTAACAAGAAACACCTGGATGTAGATGACCACTACTTGACTGGCTACATTTCACAGTTTCCAAGGTGGTTGTGGGCGGTCGGGGGAGGTGGATTAAAGATAAGATGAGGCCTCCAAAGACATTATTTTCTTGTGCGATAAGTCAGTTCCCTTTCTTGTGAAGGTCATTGGCTTCAAATTTTTACCTAAAAAGTCAAGCTGCTTACATATTTCAGAATAAAAATGGCCTTTTCATGTGAAAGATCATGTGCTTCCAAAATCGTCTTATGTTAAAAGGCTAAGGAGAGTTCAAATATGACAGAGCCTGAGCAGTAGCTGTGGGAGACGGTGGCATTGAAAGAACTGATGAGTGAGAGATGTCATTGAATGATCTCAGCATCTATGCAGATAAAACCATCTACAGTTTTGTGGCCAATAAAACTTAGCTTTTCCAAAAAAAATGTATAAAATTTAATTCATTAAAAAGTAAAGTCTCAGTGAAATTCTGATACATGCTACACTATGGATAAAGCTCAGGATATTATGTTAAATGAAATAGTGCACATATACAGATACATACTGTACGATTTCACTTAGGTACTTAGAGTAGACAAATTCACAGAGACAGAAAGTAGGATACTGGTTACCAGGGGCTGAGAAAAAGAGAAAGTAGGATTTATTGCATCATGAGCACAGAGTTTCAGTTTGGAATGATGAAAATGTTCTGAAGATGGATAATAGTGATAGTTGCACAATAATGTGAGTGTACTTAATGCTACTGAATTGTACATGCAAAAGAGTCAAAATGATAAGTGTTATGTAAGTTTCACTATAATAAAAATGTAAAGGCTCAATGAAATCTATTTTGTGGTTTTTATAATACCAAATTCTAATTTACTAATTTTATGAATTTACTCATTGCTGATACTCCTGCCTGCTGGTTGCCATTTCCACGTGGGCTTCTCTGATCTACAGGGGGAGTTAAATGACTCTAGGAAGGTTCTGTGGTGAGTGAAGAGTCACAGCAAAGGAGTTGAGTATGGTAATGGCTACCAGCAGGGAGACTGTGTAGCCTGATGTTCTTATCTCCAATATAAGACTGTGTCTGCCAAGAAGTTCTGAATCTTTGAATCAGGCAGTTCAGGCATTCTTGCTCAAGATAGCACAGCTGACAAAAGTTATTTTTTAAAGCACAGTTTATCAGACTCAGGAATGCAGTGAGAAGATATGACTAGCACATCAATAGCTACCAGAAAGAATGATTAAATCTAAAATACTAGAGAGAAGAGAAGAAGGTAGACACACCAGGGACTATTTCTACAGGATCAAAGTCTGTGGGTTTAAAATGAAATTTTCTTGTATCAATCCAATAGGCATTATCTGGATATAAATACTCTGGTGTCCCAATAACGGTTAGAAGAACTAATGAGGAAACGTATCTTTTCAGGTTGTCGTAGCATACATGGGACTCTGCTATTATACCCCAAAGCATTGCAAACATCTACAAAGGCTGCATGAAATATTTTGGGAAGAGAATCAAAACATGCTAGAAAAAAAAGATAAAACTTAAAGCCAGAGTTGTGTTCTAAGCTTACAGCTGATAAACATGGAGGCTAAGGTTTAAAGCTCATGTAGATGTGAGCCTACTGTCAGGTGAGGTGGATATTGGAACTAAGACCCAACGAAAAAAGTCTTCCCACCTGCACAGGAGATTCTAGCGAATCTAGTTTGTCTCTGTTTAACAAGCAGTGGGAGAAAGCATACAATTCCCTAAGAAATTCAAACTTGCCTGAGTCTGGGTTGGAATTTGAATTTATGTTTCAGGAACTCCCATTTTAAAAGATACACAGAAAATTGGGCCATGGAACAGAGATGCCCCTGGCGAACCTGGCATAATAAATGCAAAACCATGTGGGGAAGCAGACACCCCCAGGTGACACAGAATTCTCACAAAATAGCCAGCCTCATTGAAGATAAGCTCATGATAGAAAGTCACAGAATAAGCAAGTAACAATATTTGTGTGATGCACAGTCAACAGAGAGGAGGATTAATCCAAGAATGTGAGTTACTAGAATGGAACTTAGAAAGCGACTGCCAGAGAAAAGCTTTAAAGTCGTCAAAGCTATAACAGAAGTAATTAAAACACACAATAAGAAACATGAAAAGACATGTAAGGGTCATGGCGGACTGGAGGCAGGACTAGATTGCAGCTTGGACTTGGACAGACAGAGCCACGTGCGGAGGGCTGCATCGTGAATTCTTGCTCCAGAGCAACTGCGGGAATAAATCAGGAAACCGGAGAGGACCCACAGGCCCCCCGAAGAAAGCAGATTGCTTCTGCAGGGCCCAGAGGACAACCCAAATACTAAGTGCCCAAACTGGGGAAGTGGGAAAGAGAGATTGTCTGCCCCCAAACACATACCCCCAATGGGGAAACTGAAGGCCTCAATTATTGGAGAAGATTTTGTCCTTACCTGGAGCTGATTCAATTTAGAAAGCTGAGTGACATGCAGGCGTAGAGGAAGCAGTGGGAAAAGTCCTGGGAGCTCGTTGGGTCTCCTAGCAAGCCGCTTTTGCCTGGCTTCACAGAGGCGCTTTGGGAGGATGGCCAAAGGTACTGGGAAAAGGTCACGGGAAGAAGGAAATCTCCAGCTGAACTTCGTAACAATTTGAACTGATCCAGAAGCCTCTTTGTCAGAACCTGGGGGAGGGCATCAATCCAGTGTGCTGACTCCACAGGTGGAGGAAGAAGGAAAGCCATATTTGCTCTCGCAGCTGGGAGGCAGGTAACCTGGGGCAAATTCTCAGCCTTTTGCACCCACTGCCTGGAAACAGACTCGATGCTATTGGGGAGCAAGGCATGGTGGGAGTGAAACTGGCCTTTTGGATTGCATCGGAGCTAGGTGAAACCTGTGACTGCAGGCTTTACCCCACTTCCCTGACAATCTGCATGACACAGTAGAGACAGTCATAATCCTCTAGGAACATAACCCCATTGACCTGGGAATCTCACCCCCATTTCCCACAGTGGCAACAGCAAGACCCACCAAAGGAGAGTCTGAGCTCAGATGCTTAGCCCTGCCCCCACCCAATGGTCCTTCCCTACTGACCCTGGTAGCTGAAGACAAAGGGAATATACTCTTGGGATTTCTAAGGCCCCTACCTCCCCACCATCTGTTCCTCCCCATACTACTATAGCTGATGCTCTCTGGAAAGCACCATCTCCTGGTAGGAGACCAACCAGCACAAAAATAGTGCATTAAACCACAAAAACTAAGAATCCTCACAGAGTCTAATTCACCCTTCTACCACCTCCACTGGTACAGGTGCTGGTATCCACGGCTGAGAGACCCACAGATGGTTCACATTACAGGACTCTGCAGACAACCTGGACTCTGCAGTATCAGCCTGGAGCCTGGTAGACTCACTTGTTGGCTAGATCCAGAAAAGAGATAATAATCACTACAGTTTGGCTCTCAGAAAGCCAAAGGAAAAGGGGGAGAGTACTACATCAAGGGAATGCCCATGGGACAAAAGAATCTGAGTAACAGCTTTCAGCCCTAGACCTTCCCTCTGACCTACTCAAATGAGAAGGAACCAGAAAACCAACTCTGGTAACATGACAAAAAAATGGCTCTTAAACACTTGCCAAAAAATCACACTAGCTCACTAGAAATGGACTCAAACCAAGAAATCCCTGATTTACCTGAAAAAGAATTCAGGAGGTTAGTTATTAAGCCAATCAGAAAAGCAACAGAGAAAGGCGAAGCCCACTGTAAGGAAATTCCAAAAATGATACAAGAAATAAAGGGAGAGATATTTAAGGAAATAGATATAAATAAAAAAAAATAAAAACTTCAGGAAACAGTGGACACATATAGAAATGCAAAATGCTCTGGAAAGTCTCAGCAATAGAACTGAGGAAGTAGAATAAAGAACTTCAGACCTCAAACACAAGGTCTTTGAATTAACCCAATACAACAAAGATGAAGAAAAAAAGAATAAGAAAATATGAACAAAGTTTCCAGAAGTCTGTGATTATGTTAAATGACCAAACCTAAGAATAATCAGTGTTCCTGAGGAAGAAGAGAAATCTAAAAGTATGGAAAACATATTTAGGGGTATCATTATGGAAAACTTCCCTGGTCTTGTGAGAGACCTAGACAACCAAATACAAGAAGCATGAAGAACACCTGGGAAATTAATCACAAAAAGATCATCACCTAGGCACATTGTTATCAGGTTATCTAAAGTTAATATAAAAGAAAGAATCTTAAGAGCTGTGAGAAAGAAGCCCCAGGTAACCTGTAAAGGAAAACCTATCAGATTAACAGCAGATTTCTCAGCAGACACCCTATAAGCTAGAAGGAATTCAGGCATTATCTTCAGCCTCCTCAAAACAATTGTCAGCCAAGAATTTTGTATCCAGCAAAACTAAGCTTTGCATATGAAGGAAAGATACAGTCTTTTTCAGACAAACAAATGCTGAGAGAATTTGTCACTACTAAGCCACCACTACAAGAACTGCTAAAAGGAGCTTTAAATCTTGAAACAAATCCTGGAAACACATCAAAACAACTTCTTTAAAGCATGAATCTCACAGGACCTAAAAAACAAAAATATAATTTAAAAAAACAAAAATGAAAAACAAAAAAGCAAGGTTTCCAGGCAACAAATAGCATGATGAATGAAACTGTACTTCACATTTCAGTACTAACATTGAATATAAATGGCCTAAGTGCTCCACTTAAAAGATGTAGAACTGCAGAATGGATAAAAATTCATCAACCAACTATCTGTTGCCTTCAAGAGACTCACACATAAGGACTTGCACAAACTTAAGGTAAAAGAGTGGAAAAAGACGTTTCATGTAAATGGACACCAAAAGAAAGCCAGAGTAGCTATTCTTATGTCCGACAAAACAAACTTTAAAGCAACAGCAGTTAAAGGAGACAAAGAGGGACATGATATAATGATAAAAGGCCTTGTCCAACAGGAAAATAGCATAATTCTAAACATGTATGCACCTAACACTGGAGCTCCCAAGTTTATAAAACAAATGATAATAGACCTAAGAAATGAGATAGACAGCAACACAATAATACTAGGGGACTTCAATACTCTATGGACAGCACTAGACAGGTCATCAAGAAAGAAAGTCAACAAAGAAACAACAGATTTAAACTAAACCCTGGAGCAAATGGACTTAACAGATATATACAGAATATTCCATCCAACAACCACAGAATATACATTCTATTCAACAGTGCATGAAACTTTCTCTAAGATAGACCATATGATAGGCCACAAAACAAGCCTCAATAAATTAAAAAAAAAGTGGAGTAACACTAGAAACCAACTCCAAAAGGAAACTTCAAAACCATGCAAATACCTAGAAATTAAATAACCTGCTCTTGAATGATCATTGGGTCTACAACAAAATCAAGATGGAAATTAAAAAATTATTCAAATTACACAATAGTAACACAACCTATCAAAAACTCTGGGACACAGCAAAGGTGGTGCTAATAGGAAAGTTCATATCCCTAAACACCTACATGGAAAAGGAAGGAAGAGCATAAACAGACAATCAAGGTCACACCTCAAGGAACTAGAGAAACAAGAACAAACCAAACCTAAACCCAGCAGAAGAAAGGAAATAACCAAGAAAAGAGCAGAATTAAATGAAATTGAAACAAAAAAATACAAAAGATAAATGAAACAAAAAGCTGGTTCTTTAAAAAGATAACCAAAATTGATAGACCATTAGCAAGATTAGCCAAGAAAAGAAGAGAAAAAAATCCAAGTAAACTCAATAAGAAATGAAATGGGAAATATTACAGCTGACACCACAGAAATACAAAAGATTATTCAAGGCTGCTATGGAGATATGTGCATAAACTAGAAAACCTAGAAGAGATGGATAAGTTACTAGAAAGATACAATTTTCCTAGTTTAAGTCAGGAAGAATTAGATACCCTGAACAGGCCAATAACAAGCAGTGAGATTGAAATGGTAATTCAGAAAATTACCAACAAAAAAGAGGCCAGGACCAGACGGATTCACAGCAGAATTCTACCAGACATTCAAAGAAGAATTGGTATGAATTCTATTGACACTATTCCACAAGATGGAGAAAAAGGGAACCTTCCCTAAATCATTCTAAGAAGCAAGTATCATCTTAATGCCAAAACCAGGAAAAAACATAACCAAAAAAGAAAACTCTGATAAACCTTGATGCTTAAATTCTTAACAAAATACTAGCTAACCAAATCCAACAACATATTAAAAAGATAATCCATTTTGATCCAGTGGGTTTCATAAGAGGGATGGTTTAATATATGCAAATCAATAAATATGATACACTACATAAACAGAATTAACAACAAAAATTATATGATCTCAATAGATGCTGAATTTTGTCAAATGTTTTTTCTGCATCTATTGAGATCATATAATTTTTAAAACTCTCAGCAAAATCGACATACAAAAGACATAACTCAATATAATAAAAGTCATCTATGACAAACCCACAGCCAACAGAATACTGAATGGGGAAAAGTTGAAAGCATTCCCCCTGAGAACAGAAACAAGACAAGGATGCCCACTCTCACCACTCCTCTTCAATGTAGTACTCAAAGTCCTAGACAAAGCAATCAGATAAGAGAAAAATAAAGGGCATCCAATCAATAAAGAGGAAGTAAAACTGTTGCTGTTTGCTGATGATATGATCATTTACATAGAAAACCCTAAGACTCTCCATAAGCTCCTAGAACTGATAAAAGTTTCAGCAAAGATTACAGATGCAAAATTAATGTACACAAATCAGTAGCTCTTCTATACACCAGCAGTGACCAAGTTGAGAATCAAATCAAGAACTCAACCCCTTTTTTGTTGTAACAACAAAATATTACTTAGGAATGTACCAGCCAAGGAGGTGAAAGACCTCTACAAGGAAAACTATAAATCACTGCTGAAAGAAATCAGACAACACAAACAAATACAAACACATCCCAGGCTCATGGATGGGTAGAATCAATATTGTGAAAATAACCATACTGCCAAAAGCAATCTACAAATTCAGTGCAATCCCCATCAAAATACCCACCATCATTCTTCACAGAATTAGAAAAACAATTCTAAAATTGATATGGAACCAAAAAAGAGCCCACATAGCCAAAGCAAGACTAAGCAAAAAGAACAAATTTGGAGGCATCTCATTACCTGATTTCAAACTATACTATAAGGCCATAGTCACCAAAACAGCATGGTACTGGTGTAAAAATAGGCACATAGGTCAATGGAACAGAATAGAAACAAATGATGCAGGGATAATTGGCTATCCACATGTAGGAGAATGAAACTGGATCCTCACTCTCACCTTATACAAAAATCAACTCAAGATGGATTAAGGACTTAAATATAAGACCAGAAACTACAAAAATTCTAGAAGATAACTCCTCTTGAAGTGATAAGCATTGGATCCCACTGACCTCCACTTTCACATCACCTCACACCTGATTTATTATGATTAATCAGAAATGGTTCCCCTAATCCCAGTGTTCTACCTGCTTCCATCTGACTGTACCCTGCTCTCCTATTAACCTTCTGGAAGCATTGTCTTTGTTTTCATGCTTCACAAGATTTGAACATTTTGTGCTGTTTACATGATAAAGTTCAAATACCTTGGGCTGTCATTCATTAAACCCGAGGCCTGTTTCTGTGAAGAATGGGGTGGGGTTGGAGGATGGTGGAAGTAAAACTCATGTATACCAGTAGGGATTGCACTCCAGCTTTATCAGACCTCCAAAGGGACAAAAACTGCATAGACCAGAAAACATCTGAATGTTGTTCTTTCAGAAAAAAACATGGAAACGGACCAAGGGGATCTGTTTTATCATCGAACAGACCAAAAGGTCTTCCCTAGGTTTTATTTTGCCCTCATTAAAACAGTTTCACCATCTCTTAAAATCTAGCATAGCTATATTTTACCTCTGTGTTTTGTGTTCAGGACTCAGAGGTAAAATATGAAGCCATTTTACAGGTAAAAGACATGGAGGGGATAAATAGAATCTTGTTAAGACCAGTACTTTGCCTGGAGAAGTCATGCAAAAACTCTAAGATATAAAATTTTTAAAGACTACAAACAAATCCCAAAAATGATGAAGTCATTCTGGGATTTGAATGCTGACCAAAATAACAACTGGTCAGCAGCCTGCAGGAGTGAAACATCTGCTAGATCTGCACCCAATGGTTCCCAGAAATTTGTTATCTTCCCTATTGGAAAAATCCATTATCACCCCCAAAATAATCTCTGCTCTTTGTAAAGCAACTCAACAAGCCACAGGCATAGGCATGACAGGTGATTGACAGAACTCCATGCGGGTAGAACAGTCATCCATGCATAGTGTCTGGGTTCTCAGTCCCAATATTTTCAATACATCATGTTCTACAACTTTTTTCTCTGTGCCTGCACCACAGCTTATGCAATTTCCTTTATCTACATCTGTGTAGTGATGAGGAGGTTTTTCCATTTCTCCATGTTGGAGGTTTGTTGAATTAAACTACAGATTTGGATTCAGAAAGAGGGAAAAAAAGGAAATTGTCTATAAACATTAAACTCTAAGGCTTCCACTGATCTCTCAAGTCAGTTTTAAGTAACTACATTATATATATAATGATATCAGTGGATAACAAAATACTCTCTTCACATTATCTGGACCTTTTCTTCTAGATGCCAGGGTCTCAATCCATGTAGATAGAAGTTCATGTTGTGCCGTGCTGGATTTCCTTTAGCAAGGCATTTATTTTCACTACCAAGTAAACTTTGATTTTATTTTAGTAGGTTTAAAAATATTACTTTTAATAATCTTCCTAAAGTAAATTAGTGTATATTTCAATAGTAACAGGGCATTTGTTGCATCATTTTGTTTTTAATATACTGTGAAGACAAACACTGCAGATGAATGCCATATTTATAAAATGTCTAAAGAAATGTAAGCAAATTGGTTTTGAAGTTGTTTATAAATATTAAGAGTTTTAAGCATATGTGGTGCTAAGTAATATTGACATGTCTTGGAAAATGTGCAAGATAGAAGGCAAATGAGGCAACTACTTATTCCCCAAATTTGCTTACGCACAAGCAAAATAAATTCTTTGAGAAAAAATATTTGATGAAATTAGTGAGGCCACCAGTGACATTAAAAACATGTATTTAAATATAAATCTGAATCAAGTTAAGCAGGGAAAAAAACCTTGACCCCAATACTATTAAAGGTGGAAAGAAAAAGAACACAGGCATTTGTTAATACAAGAGTTACAGTTGAGGGTGGAAATTATCTTTCAGCAGATTATAAAAATACGGTAATAACAGATTTGGTGTCATATTTCTCCCTAAGTACTGAGGGGTACAGTGGATTCCATAAGTCGTTAGGCAGCTTGTGGATTCTATTATTATAATTCATTCCTGTATTGAGTGTCAGATAATCTACTGCTCCTAAAGGCTCAGTGTCTAAGTTCCTGAGACATTCCTCTCAGGATCTCTCTAGGATTCAGCAGTAATATATCAAGTGTTCATCAAGTGTATAGCAGCCATGCAATCACTTTTCCAAAGAAATTGATTAAATCTGAGAAACAGTAGAATTCCCAGATCGTTTTTTCTTCCTAGATCAAACTTCATCATTTTTGGGATTTGTTTGTAGTCTTTAAAAATTTTATATCTTAGAGTTTTTGCATGACTTCTCCAGGCAAAGTACTGGTCTTAACAAGATTCTATTTATCCCCTCCATGTCTTTTACCTGTAAAATGGCTTCATATTTTACCTCTGAGTCCTGAACACAAAACACAGAGGTAAAATATAGCTATGCTAGATTTTAAGAGATGGTGAAACTGTTTTAATGAGGGCAAAATAAAACCTAGGGAAGTAGACGTTCTGTAAAAAATAACCAAATATACATAAAATGTAGAAAGCGTCTCCCTTTCCATGATTTTTACAACTACTAGGACCATACAAATCAAAACGTACTACAAAGTTACAGTGATCAGACTAATGTCTTTAGGCTAGTGTGGTACTAGCATAAAGACAGACAGACCAATGGAATAGAATAGAGAGCTAAGAAATAAGCTCTCGCATATATGTTCAACTGATTTTCAACAAAGGTGACAAGATCATTCAGTTAAAAAAAAGTCTTTTAAACGAACAGTCCTGAGAAAACCGGATATCCACATGCAAAAGGATGAAATTGAATTCTTACTGTATACAAAAAATAAAGAGATAAAAGCTCTAAACATAGCCACTAAAACTATAAAATTTTTATAAGAAAACATGGAGAAAAAGCTTCATGACATTGGGTTTTGTAATCAATTTTTGGATATGACAGTAAAAGCATAGCAACAAAAGAAAAAAATTAATAAATTGGACATTGATATTAAAAACTTGTGTACATCAGAGGATACTATCAACAGGATAAAAGGCAACCTACAGAATAGGAGAAATATTTGGAAATTACATATATCTGATAAGGCATTAATATCCAGAATATATGGAGCTCTCCTATAACACAACAATTACAAACCAATCCAATCAAAACATGGGCAAAGGACTTGAATGGACATTCCTCCAAAGAAGATATACAAATGACCAAAAAGCACCTAAAAAATTCTCACCAGCACTAATTATTAGGAAAATGTAAATCAAAATCACAATGAGATACCAATCCACACTTACTGAAATAGCTATGATTTTAAAAAATGAAAACAAAAAAGCAGAAAATAACAAGTGACCACAAGGATGTAGAGGAACTGGAATTCTTGTGCATTGTTAATGGGAATGTAAAACAGCAAAGCCACTGTGGAAAATAGCATGGCAGTTTCTCAAAAACTTAAACATAGAATTGCCATATCATTTACTAATTTCACTCCTGAGTATATTCTCAAAAGAATTAAAAGTATGGGTTTGAACAGATATTTGCACATCAATGTTTATAGCAGTGGTACTATAGCGAAAAGATGAAAACAATCCAAATGTCCTTTGACAGGGGAATAAACAAAATTTGGTATATACATACAATGGGATGTTTTCAGCCTTTAAAAGGAATGAAATTCTAATACATTCTACAACATGGTGAACTTGAAAACATTATAGCAAGTGAAATAAGTCACACATAAAAGGACAAGTGTTACATGATTCTGTTTATATGAATTACCTAGAATAGACAAATTCATAGAGAAAAACATTAGAATAGTGCTTATCAGAGGCTGAGGGGAAGAGGTGGGCAGTTTTTGGTTAATAGGTTCAGCGTTTCAGATTGAGATGATGAAAAAGTTCTGAAGATAAATAGGGGTGATGGTCGCAAAACAATGTGAAAGTACTTAATGCCACTTAATTGTATGCTTAAAATGGTTACAATAGTAAATTTTATATTATGTATATTTATCAAAAAAAGTCTATGTCATAAAAGACCAAAAAGGCTGTAAAAATGAATCAAATTAAAGGAGAACACAAAAGCAATTTAAAAGTTGAACAAAATCTTAATAATGGAAGAATCTGGGTTAAAGTTACAGCAGCTTTATTCTTGCAGCTATTTTATAATGTTATTTTTAAGTAAAAAGTTTGTAAAAAATAAAGAAAAAGATTAAAAGAATTCAAAAGAAAGTGACATATAAAGACTATAGGCAAAGAAGATCCAACATACTGTAACAGCATAATAAGAGTCCCATGGGAAAAAAGGAAACATAACAAACACTAAAAATTATCATTTTAAAAATTCCTGAAATAAAATTGAATTTATATTGTGAAAGGGAATATAATTTACTGAGTAAGTATGTTAACCCAGAATGACAAACACAAAGATAAAGTTCAGTAAAACTACTGTATTATAAAGAAAGTGAAAAAACTCTAATCAGGCAAAAAGATCAAGTAATTCTTAGGAAAAGAAAACCATATTAAAGCCAGCCCTTTGACATTTTATGCTAAGAAAAGAAAATGTAAATAAAATATCTTATACCAGAAAAATTTATTTTTAACTATAAAGACCACCGTCAACCTGTTATTAACATTCAAGGACCCAGAAAATATTGTTTCCATGACCAATTCCTGAAGAATCTTCTTGAAAACAGTCTTCAGACAACCTAAATGACAAGAGAGACACTGATATAAAACTGGCAATATCCATAAATATATACTTATAGAAAAAGATTCAATTATGGATAAAAGAGAGTGTATAATACCTACATAATCCCTCGTAATATGGATATAATGATAACAAAAGGAAAAAACAGAAAAGGCATAATCACCTTGCTGATTTTTGTATTTTTAATAGAGACAGGGTTTCACCATGTTAGCCATGCTGGTCTTGAACTCCTGGCCTCAAGCGATCCTGTCTCAGCCTCCCAAAGTGTTGGGATTACAGGCGGGAGCCACTGCACCCAGCTCATTTTGTATATATGTCTGTATATGTGTGTATATGTATATGTATATGTATAGGAGTGTGGGTGTTTTTTTTCTAACCATGCTCATTTAAAAGGTCTAAAATAGAAGATCAACTAGTAGCAATGTGGTTAGTTCCAGGTCAGAGCAAGAAATATTCAAAATGAGCTTAGAACATCTTGTTATGCCTGATAACAAACATGACAGATTTCCAAAAGTGGCTGCAAAAACATTTCTTATATCACATACTTTTATCCACTGTGACCTTGTCATCAACAAGTGGACCTTTTTTCTCACCCCTTTTTAATCTGGGAGAGGTCTACGACTGCTCTGATGAAAAGAATATGGAGGAAGAGATCCTGTACCACTTCCAGCAGATCTTATCTGGTCTAGCAGCTTGCATTTATGCCTCTTAGAATGTTTTCTCTTGGAAAATTCTACCTTGGAACCCAGCTACCATTCTATGAAAGTCATCTTGAGAGGTCATGTGTAGGTGGTTGGTCCCATTGATGACCTCAAATGAGTTCCCAGCCAACAACCAGCATCAACTGCCAGCCATGTGTGTGAGTCCTCTTAGTCATTCAGCCAAGTTGAGCTTTTGGATGACTACATCCTTAACTAGCAATTGACTACAAATTTATAATATACCCCGTGGTAGGCAGAAAATGTCTCCCAAAGATGTCAATTTCCTAATCTCCATAATCTGTGAATGTTAGGTGACATGGCAAAGCATATTCTGATTGCTAATCAATTGACCTTAAAATAGGTAGATTATTTTGAATTATCAGGGCTTAATGTAATCACAAGAGTTCTGAACAATGGAAGAGGGAGGCAGAAGAGGAGTGTGGAGTGCTGGGATGTGAGAAGGATTAGGCCTGCCAGTGCTAGTTTTGAAGATAAAAGAAAGACAGCATGAGTTAAGGACTATATGCAGCTTCTAGAAGCTGGAGAAGGCAAAGAAACTGGTTATCTCCCATAGCATTGAGAAAGGAATACGGCCCTGTCAACACTGTGATTTTAGCCCAGTTAGATTCAATTCTGATTTCTGACCTCTCAAAACTGTAAGATAAATTTGCATTGTTTAAACCATTAAATTTGTGGTAATTTTTTTACAGCAGTGATAGGAAATTAATATGCCCCAAGTGAGAACTATCCAGTAGAGCCCAGTCAACTCACAGAAACATGAGAAATAATTTTTAAAAATGAGTTTTGAACCAGTAAGTTTTTATTGCATAGCAATAGATAGCTGGCATGGCAAGGAAGTTACCAAGTCTATTAGGCTATCTTAATAGAATTCATGAGCCAAACTGAAAAGGTTTCAATTGAGCAAGGATAAACCTCATCAAGGATAAATGGAGCATCAATAAGGGTAATACTTTAATAGATTAAATGAACAAATACATTTAAATTCATAACTTCATAAAAATACAACAAAATTGATCATGTTTGCAGGATGTCAAATAATAAACTCATTACTTGTAAAACTGTTAAGTTAAAAACGAAACTCAAACACTTACTTAGCCTACTCCTCTTATACTGTCAAATACCAGAAGAGAAACATTGTTTATGTTATTTTTCCAGGTAATAAAGGAAAGAGTGATTGAATTTGAATATACCACTACCATGCAATCTGTAATTAATTAATTGATGTAGGCATTGAGAATTAGTGGCAGCAAAAATTGCAAAAAGAGTTTCCATCAGACAATATGCATATCCTGCTGGGGAAACAAACCACTGCAATGAAGTAGCCTTGGAAAAAAGAAAAAAAGAGAACGACCTGAATTTTATGTCTGTAAAGCCTCTGGGTCAACTACCAATTTATGGCAAACAGAAAGAACAGAGGAGAGAGGAATATGTTAAACTATTAAGACACCAAAAAGATAAAGTCAACAAAATCCAGCATAGGAAATTTTGCATATAAATTTATTTGTTTCTTCAATAAATAAAATGCAAAAGGGGAAAATAGATGGAATGGGGAGGCCTATAGATTAAAAGACACTCAAAAGATCTAATTTAAAAGCTAAAACTGAAGTATAACATTGAAGGATGTTCCCTTGGAAAATACAACAATTTAAAAGATAGAACTAAATGGTCTAATCCTGGAGCATTTCAACATCTAGAGATGGATAGAGGTGGAGGAATCAGAAAAGGAATTGAGCAATGACCAGAGAAGCAAGAGGCAAAGGAGGCTGGTATCATAGAAGCCAAGGGAAAAGCATGCTCTGAGATGTAGTAGTTGTCAACTGAATCAAATGTTGTCATGAAGTCAGTAAGACGAAAATTGAGAATGGTCATCAGATTTGCCAACACACAGTTCATTGGTGACCTTGCTAAAAGCAGTGTCAGAGGAGCTGAGAGCAAGCTAAATCAGAATGAGTGACAGTAACTGGAAGATGAAAAGAGACATTTAATGGCTATTGGGAACTCTTTAAGAATGTTTGCTTGAGAAGAGGGGCAGAGGTATAGCTTGGTAGCTAAGTGACAATACAGGGCTGATAGAGATTTCTTTTTAAAGTGGAATTTCTTCCAGCATATTTGTATGCTTAGAGAGAGCTTGAAGATACAGGAGAGAAACAGAATAAGCAAAAAAGAAAATTTTTGCGGAGATGACATGGGATGAAACCCAAAACACACATGGAAACATTGGTCTCTGATAGAGGGAGGTTTGCTCTCTCTGCTAGAGAATGCCCATTCGGGTGTACTTGCAGATTTGGTGGTGGAGAGGTAGGGGAATTTTTACAGATGGATTACATTCTTTCCTTTCAGTTTGAAACAAGCCCATCATCTTCAAAGATGTGGAGCTGTATCAGGATATCCCATTTATTAATCATGGATTGAGGGTAGTGGTTTTTAAATTGTTTTGGTCCATTACCCACTAATAAATATATTTTTCTTATGACACACTATACACAAACATAGATAATTGAAATCAAATTTCATAGCCCAGTGCTTACTCCTATTAGGTATGTTCTCTTTTCTTTCTTTTTTAAGCATACCAGGCAAACTAGACTGGCAAGAGCTACAACCTTATGAAGCAGAGCACAGGGTTGGGGAGGAGGAAAATAAAGGGGATCCTATTCTGTGTTAGAGTAAATATGACTCCCAAGCAGGGACTGGCCTTGCTGTCTCACAAATTCATGTAAATTAAGAATATTAAATCAGAAATTGACTAACAAGATTATTTCCAATACACTTACATACTAAAATATTGTTAAATAATTTTCTTATTTTTTTTCATTTTATTGGGAATTTATAGCATTGACCTATTATAGTATATAAATAAGACACTTATGTAAACATTAAAGAATAATTAGACAGATACTATAATCACTACCCTGGTTGAACAATAAAGCGTTTCCAGTAACCTGGAAGCCCCTACTCCCAACTGTCTCTCCATCTGTGAGAGGTGATTTGATTACCTTGATTCTACTTGTAATCATTCTATTTTTCTCTTTCATTTTGCCACTTATGCATATATCCCTAAATAACATAGGTTAGTTTGGCCTGCTTTTGTACCTTAGACAAAATACTACACAATAGGGCCGGGCGTGGTGGCTCAAGCCTGTAATCACAGCACTTTGGGAGGCTGAGGCGGGTGGATCACGAGGTCAAGAGATCAAGACCATCCTGGTCAACATGGTGAAACCCCGTCTCTACTAAAAATACACACACACACACAAAAATTAGCTGGGCATGGTGGCGCGTGCCTGTAATCCCAGCTACTCAGGAGGCTGAGGCAGGAGAATTGCCTGAACCCAGGAGGTGGAGGTTGCCGTGAGCCGAGATCGCGCCATTGCACTCCAGCCTGGGTAACAAGAGCGAAACTCCGTCTCAAAAAAAAAATAATAATAATAATGCATAATATGCATGCTTTTATATCTGACTCCTTTCACTAAATATTATGCCCATGATGCTATTTTATTCATTTTCATTGCTGGATGTAATTCTGTATATGAATATACTACATTTTTAATATTTATTTACTGTTGAACATTTGGCTTGTTTTCATTTGGGAATCCTAGTTTATGTCCTTCTACACACATGCAGGAGCTTCTCAAGAGCATCTATCTAGCAGTAAAATTACTAGATCAGCGAATATGAATGCTTTCAACCTTATCAGTTAAGTTCAAATATTTCCAGTTTACACTCCCACTGCAGTATGTGCTTCCCATTGTTCTATATTGTGACTAATTTATTTTGCTAGATTTCTTGATATTGTTGCCAATTTGGTGGGTACATATTGGTAATTCATTGGAGCTTTAATTGGTACTTCTATATTTTCATATGTTCATTAGCCATTTGGATTTCAGATTTTTTTTCATTAAAAAAATGCTAGTTAGATCTGATCTTTGACAAACCTGAAGAAAACAAGCAACGGGGGAAGAATTCCTTAAATAAATAGTCCTTGGAGAACTGGCTAGTCATACACAGGAAACTGAAACTGGACTCCTTCCTCACATTATACAAAAATGAACTCATGACGGATTAAAGATGTAAATGTAAAACCCAAAACCATAAAAAACCTAGAAGAAAATCTAGGCAAAACCATTCAGGACCAAAGCACAAGCAGAGATTTCATGATGAAATGCCAAAAGCAATTGCAGCAAAAGCAAAAATTGGCAAAAGGGATCTAATTAAACAAAAGAGCTTCTGCACAGTAAAAAAAAAATTATCGTCAGAGTGAACAGAGAACCTAAAGAATGAAAGCAATTTTTTGCAATCTGTCCATCTGACAAAGGTCTAATACCCAGAGTCTGCAAGGAACTACCACATGTCACTTAATTGTTCTCCAAATGGTGGTGCTACCCCTTACAGTACTATCACCAGCTACTAGTCTGACTGTTGGGAAAATGTAAAGGGAATGATATTCAGCTGGAATTTGAGTGTGATCCTCTGGACATCAGTGTGGATGTTGATGTCAGAAAGGATCTGTGGACTCTGAGCAGTATCCGTGTTATGATGTTTAGAGAGGGTATGCTCTGACACGACAGGGCTTTCTTGGATCTATGTCTGAGGCATCACATCAAGCAAACTGAGGCCCCATAAAGGAACATCATAACCCTAGGAGATACCTTAAACACTAATGCTCACTACTCCTTAGCTCTTGTTAAACAATTCTTCCTCTCTTTTTATGAGATGTCATGATGAGGCAACTAGAAGGGTGTTAGAATAAATTTTAGAAGGCAGATAAGGATATTGTCCATAGAATCTTTTGTGAAGATTTATTCTAATGGGGTTGTACTTGTATTTTTTATTTCCATGATGTTGGGGACAATCACAAAGTCAAAGATTCCAATAGTTAGACTGGCCTTTTATTTTTTTTTAACATTATTCCAGTAATTGCATGGAGACTGCAACCCCTGGGAGGTAAGTGGGAGCTACAATAGAGAGAGAAAGGAGGCGGGTAATCTTAATGGTAACATGGCAACTTTTAACAACACTAACTTGCTATCCTGCTTGAAAAATCATTTTTAGAAATAGTCAAATATTTATGCTTGAGTTTTATTTGAAATGCTCCTTTTCCATAAAAATCATCTAAATATTTAATAATTTGGAACTTTTGACAGCATTCCAAATATTAGGAAATTTTAAATATTTCTTTTAAATAATCACACAAATATATGTATTTTTCCAAACCAAAACAGATATTCCCATGCTGGAAATGTTATTTCTGATTTCTAATTTATTCTTTTTTTACTAATTTATTCTTAAGGGCTAATTTGCAAAATGAAATTGTTTGGATGATTAACCAGTTTGCAGTAAACATGGTGTACCAAATTGGTTTCTAAATTTAGAGAAAGGTTGAGTTTCCTCTTTTAATAATCAAGAAATAACAGAAATATTAATGATAATGAAGCTTCCATAATTAAAAAGTCAAATTCTGAAATAGCAAGCAGAAAAGAACATTAGCAGGTAGCAGCTACATAATTTATAATTCTCACAAATAGTTATTTTGAGCTCTTTTCATAGGATAACACAACCTCCAACATGCAGTTTACTAAAATATAGTGTATGCACTATATGTGCCATAATTCACTTCCATAATTTGGGGGAATTTAGTGCTATTAAATATAACTTAAAGATGCAAGTATACTTAAAGGTCACAAAAGAAAGGCAAATTTGTTTTATTGGATGCTATGATTTCTATGTCTGCTATTTCAAACATTATAGAGAGTATTATTTATTATTCATATAAATGTTTTCAAAGAAAAATTTCCTTTACCTATAGAATTTGAGGATGAGCTCTATATTTTAAACACAGTAGACTCCATGTCTTTTCTTGGAGGTTTTCGAGGACTGATTTTTGGTAATATTTCTTTGGCATAAAGTGTTCTATGAAGTCCAGCTTCTCGAAGCGCTAACTCAAAGCGAAGTCTAGGGTCAGAAATTATCTGTAGAAATAAAAACACAATTTAAATAAATAGCAATTCATCAAACTAAAATAACTTTTAACATTTAGTTCCATGTTTTCCCAAGCGAATTTGTTTTTGCTGGACAGATGACTAGGTGACAGTAAACTTCGTGAATACAGTGACTATATTTTGGAAACATCCAAACCTTTTCTACATTATCACTTTTCAGTACATCAGCAGTTTCCAATATAAGGTGTATAGTATATTGTGCACTAGATTAGTCAAAATATAATGCATTAAAATCATTAAAAGATAAAGTAAAAGAAGCTTACTTTCAGTACTACTATTGATTTATGACTTATTGCTGGCTGGAATTATAAAATATAGATCATTGATTAAAATAAATCTAATCCATAACCTTATACATCTGTCTTTAAAATGACATCTTAATTTCTCCATCATTTGGCAATATGTAAATTAAGTTTAAACACATGGCCACCACTTGAAAAACAAAATCAATAGAACTTTTCTTCCAAGGCTGGATTTCTATTTCAAACAGAAGTAGAAAATGCCTCCATCAATCTGATTGTAAGTGGGAGTAGACATATGAGCAGTTCAATTTCTGTTTTCATTTATAGCTGATTGGATCTTATTCCTCTCCCCTCCTCCTATGAATATTAAATGTCAACAGACACTGTTTGAAATAAGAAGGTGGCCACATATGGATTTTACCTAATGAGGCATTTTACATGGACTTGAAGTCCCCCTAGAGGATGCAATAATAAGCTATTAAAAGCAGCCCTTCCAGGCACTCTCAGACAAATTGAGGCAATAAAAATGTACACCGATAGCTACAGATTACAGCAACATGTGGCAGATGCCCTAAAAGTAGTAAAACATCGAGATGCATCTTCTGGTGCTGGTGGCATGAGGATGGTCTTGGTGAAGATGAGCAATTAAACTAACCTTAAAGTGCAACTTAGTCTATACAGCAGACTGGGGAGGAAGAGACCTAATGAGAAACTCAGAGGTGAAATAGGTCAACTTGGGCGAAGGGTAGTTTGAGTAGAGCACTGGTTACCATTGAGGAACACTGGAAATAGATGCTTCTCGGACTGCGACTTGAACTTCAAAGGCTTGCACGGCCATGCTGAGTCTAACGAGCTACTAGGGTTATGTTTATTTCTGGGTTTTGCATGGAAATAATATAATATTTGCAGTTGCATAGGAAGATGGTTCCGATTGTAAGTTCAGAATAAATTAGGGTGGCAGGGAAAGAAGAGGCGGAGGCCAAAAGAGTGATTAGGAGTTTACTACAATTGTCTAGCTGTAAAGTAATAAATGTCTGAACTTGGCTGGTAGCAAGGAAGAGATAACTCTTAGAAACACTATGAAAAGAAGAATCAATTTTACTTGGCAGCTGATCAGATAAAGGGCTTGGAGCAACAATGAGTATAAAGTCAAGAATAATACAGATTATTTGTGTCTGAGAAGCAATGAATTTGAGTCTTAGACCCAGGTTTTTCCTCTTCTGTCTCAATGTCTTCTCCCTGGTCCGCTCTCATGTGCTCCAGTGATTCATGTTCAATCTGTATGCCATTGACTCCCAAATTACAACCAGGACTCACCTCTTTCTTCAGCTCCACGTTGTGAGGCTTAAATTTTTTTATTACTCAATTTTTGCATAGCTAGAGAGTGAACTTGAGATCTCCCTTCTACTTGGACTTCCATCTTCCCAATTCCCTTCCCTGGAGGCAGCCCATCAGTTTCTTGTAAATGTGTACTAGATATTTTTATCCTAAACACAGTATAAGTAAAATAAATTCTTTCTTTCCCTAAATCTGCTTTTTTTTCCCTGTATTCTTATATAGTTAATGGCAGCACCACCGGATGATTATAATTTACTGAATTACTACTAGGTGCCAGGAAATCCTTTAGGCAGTTGACATTTATTATCTCTAATGCTCACAAGAACTTTGTAAATAATTATTTTACAGATGAAGAAAACAAACATAAAGATGTAAATAGCTTATACAAGTGCACCCAGCCAATAAACAGTGAATGTGGATTTGAATCCAAAACACCAGCTTTTAGTATTACTTGCTGTCTAGCTTGCAGTCATTCTTACTTTCTTTTTCCCCTCCCCTTCCCAGCCAGAGCCATCCATGAACCCACCACCATCACTACTTCTATGAAGGTTCTGCCATTTTAAAAGGAACTCACCCCAATCCACCCCTACCCCCACCAATTTTTCATTCAGGACACATAGCTAACACATAAAACTGATTACAGTTATGTGTCACTTAACGACAAGGATACATTCTGAGAAATGTGTCCTCAAGCAATTTTGTTGCGTGAATGTCATAGCATATACTTACATAAACCAAGATGGTACAGCATTCTGCACACCTAGATTATATGATACAGGCCACTGCTCCTAGGCTATAGCTTGTACAGCATGTAATTTTGCTTATTATTGTAGGAAGTTGTAACACAATGCTAAGTACTTGTCAATCTAAACATAGCAGAGGAAATGAACTGTACTATGATGTTAAGACACCACTAGGCAATAGGAATTTTTCAGCTCTGTTATAATCCTAAGGGACCACCAACATATATGTGGTCTGCCTTTGACCAAAACACTGTTATGTGGCACATGACTGTATATAATAAGTTTCAAAATCTGGCATCAGCATACAGATGCCTTAGTAGGAAGACCTACTATGCTTTTCACTGCCTGAACCTAACCCATGTTTCCAGTCTCCTCTCTCAGAATGTGTCATGTACCCCTTGTCATTCTCCTTACACTGAAGACATACCAGCAAGAGCTGTGCACCACCCTCTTAGGCTTGGTCAAACCCAGATGTGAAATAGCTCAACTTGGGATGAGGGTTAGCCCAGCTGCTTGAGGCTTTTCAGCTTCTGATTTTAATTCTTTCAAGCCTCAGCTGTTCTCCCCACTTTGGCAGCTAGGATCTAGAGACACCTCTTCCTTCTCCCTATGTATCCTCCCCCACAACCTATTTTGTTGTTGATATGTTGTTATTATTGTAAATCATCTGAAATGGATTTTGCTACTGCTGCCAAAAATCTTTGACTAAGACAGGGCTCAGCAGTTTTCTCTCTGATACCTTCTCTGACTTCTCTAGTCAGGGTCAGTCATCCCTTCCTCTTCCTAGGGCAACCTTAGACCTTCATTATGTAGTTGATCCCACCCTAGTGGCACTGTTCTTGTACATTGCTACTTTCTTCCCTGGCAGCCTCTTTTGCTCACTTCCTCCAGACGAGATCAGTCTGTCTTGCTCAGATGTAACCCAGGAACCATATGCAGAGCAAAAATATAATATATGTTATATTAATATTGGTTCAATTAATAAATGAATGAATTATGCCCTTTATAATCCCTAGCAAAGTACGCAGCACATAGTAGAGACATAACATGTTTATTTGGTAGTGGATGAATGGACGATTTTCTGGTTTTTAAATAATTAAATAATTATTTAGCTTCTCTCCTTAGATTTATAGAATTGACAACCACACTTCCTTAATTTCAGTGACTGATATTTATTCATTCATTTATCCATCCATCCATCCATCCATCCATCCATCCATCTGTTCTCCCTCCTACCTTCCATCTGTCAATCCTTCCATCTAAAAGATTTTTTTAAAATACTTTCTCAGTTATAGGCACAGATTAAAATGAACCCTAGGTCCTAAAAAATGGTTAAATAAACCCTTAATACTTTTTTCCATAGAAAATGCTTTATTTTATCATAAGCTCTTATGTATTATCTTCTGTTTATTTTAATTTCTAAAAGCTTTCCTCTGCTTTGTCATCAGTATCAGCTGTTTAATATAATTTATGTCATGAATTTAAATATAATTCTTAATGTAACAGAGAAACATTTAAACAAAACACAATATTAATAAAGAACTCTCAAATAACATTTTGTAAAGAGATTTTTAAAACTTTTAAAAATAAAAGTTTCAATGACAGAGTTATAACATTTTTAGGTAACCTCTTGTTCTATGGTAACCTACTAGCCAGTTTGTAATATTAAGAATTATGAAGTAATTATATACTATCATTTAGAAGTAAAAATTATGCTAATATGTGTGATAGTCAAATGTAAATATTGAAAACTGTTGTAACCTTAAACACATACTTCTACAGTCCTTGTCATCATCATGGCTTTTTCATCAGCCATGCTAATTTCCATAATTACCTGCTGTTCATTGTATGTATTCAATGTGAAGAGTGGCTTTTGAAGAATAAATTCTTCTTCCATTTCAATGCCCATCTTAGCTTTCGATGCCATTGTATCTGACATCATTCTAACAGGATCAAATTGAGCAACAACAGCAACCTAAAAATGAGAAAGCATGGCTACTGGGAACAAGGTTCAAACTAAGTATTTCTGGGCAACATTATTGATGTCTAATGCCCATTAAAGTTAAGAAATGTTATTAAAGGTAAAGCCTGAGACGAAAGGGCAGAGAAAACATTAATTGGCCAGTCCTAAAGATCCACAAAGGAGTGAACACAAAACAAGACAGTACATATAAGACAAAATATGAAAGTGCCATGGCATATAGTTATTTGCTAATGATTAAATAATTATAATTACTTCCAGATAACAAGTTATCTTTCTGATATGAAGTCACAGGAAATCTTGTATAGAAAACCTTACATATTCAACCACCTTGAAAGTCACAGAAAGTAAAAAAAAAAAAAAATTCACTTTTTAACCATTAGCAATTTATGCTTATATTAACGACCCCATGAAGTTTTCTAGGAAGTTTAATATGGTTGAACTAGATCTAGAGCATAACATTCATGGGTCAAGTCAAGTGTGCTGGCATTAGGGAGCAAGGTAGGTAAATTTCCTTTTACCAGGCAACTAGATTTCCAGAGACTGCTAGAAACCATTGTCCTCCTTTGACTGAAAAAATTGCAAAGTCGTTTTAACCCAAATGCTTTTGTGTTTTATGATAATCCAAACCTGCATCTTAATGAAAAGAAGTCAGTAATTTTGTAAATGATGTGCACCATTAATAACACCTGCCTATTAATTTGGAAAGTCAAGAATTAACATGAAGAAAATGGCATTCTTAATGCATTTAAAGACTGTAATGAAATAACTGAGGGTTGAACAAGCTTTAATTACTATAGGTTTCCTAGCTAAAATAGCTTACAACACAGTTCTAAATACTGAATATAGGAAAGAGATAACAGCTATTTTCTCTTTCAAAATATTGACAGACGGAAAGAATTCTAATCATATAGACACTGTTGTTATCAAAGTTATGTTTTGAACAAGAATGTATTTAGTAATAGTGACATTAGGTCTTGTACCCAGAGGGCCATGGTATATAAATATTTGCTAATGGCTGAATAACTAAAATTTTGTAGGATCCAGGATTACCAGGACTTATATTTCTATGCTTTAAATTTATCTTTATAATCTTTTTTATCAAAGAAGAAGATGATATAATATTTGTATGCATTTACACCACATCTAGACCATCTCATTTAGCTATACTTCCTTGGTCTGAATCAGTATAACATTTACTATCTTTGTGACTTTCAGGAAAGCACCTAACCTCTGTGGCCCCTCTGTTTCCTCTTCTGTTAAATGGGGATATGAATATTATCTACATCATAAAGTTGTTGTAGAAATTAAAGTAATACCTAACAGCATTTAGAAGAGGGCTTTACACTTAGTAAATAACGAATTTGAACTCTTATTATTGCAAAACTATAAGGCAGGTACTATTATTCCCATTTTTCAGGTGAGGAAATAAAGCTTACAGAGGTTAAGTAAATGACCTGTTTCCAGTCCCAGGGAGTACAGAACCAGCTTGTACCAGGTTGGAAGGACACCAGAGGCCTAGTTCTTATCCATGATTCTGTGTTCCCTCCACCAACATAGGAAGGAAATCAAGTGGTCCTTTCCTACTAGCTGGGAAATGCTATCAATGAAGACTTCAGGGATTTTGAGTTGAAACAACCACTTAAAATTCAACACTCTGAAAAATTACCATGTAAAACTTTCACATTTCCCAAGTTCTTAAATTCTTGCTCTTGCCCTCTACTACATATTTTTACCTACTTTTGCTTATTTTCACTAGGCAAAGTGATGGGAGGCTTTTATTTCTCCACAAAATAGGTATTTTCTAAAAAGTAATTTTTAACACATTTGTTTACTGTGTTATGTTTCCAAAGGGAGGCTCCTATACCAAAGAAGATTATCTTGATTGAGCTCCACTAGGTTTCTCGAGACCAGTAAACTTCGTAGACTAGATGTACAGCTTCACTGTTGTAAACAGAAACTATCCAGCTAATGAACTCTAGATGGCCCGGATATAGTTAAATCTTGGGAGTGCTTTTTAAAAGGCGATGATAAAGTTCTTTCAATACATTGAGAAATTGGAAATGCTTCAATATAATCTAATTGCTCCCAGAAATGAAGAGCAGTGTCCCAATTTGGAAAAGTTACATTTTATTTTATTTTTTTAAAAATTTTTTATTGCATTTTAGGTTTTGGGGTACATGTGCAGAAAATGCAAGACAGTTGCATAGGTACACACATTGCAGTGCGTTTTGCTTCCTTTCTCCCCTTCACCCACATTTGTCATTTCTCCCCAGGCTATCCCTCCCCAGTTCCCCCTCCCACTGGCCCTCCCCTTTTCCCCCCAATAGACCCCACTGTTTAGTACTCCCCTCCCTGTGTCCATGTGTTCTCATTTTTCATCACCCGCCTATGAGTGAGAATATGTGGTATTTCATTTTCTGTTCTTGTGTCAGTTTGCTGAGAATGATGTTCTCCAGATTCATCCATGTCCCTACAAACGACACTAACTCATCATTTCTGATTGCTGCATAATATTCCATGGTGTATATGTGCCACATTTTCCCAATCCAGTCTATCATCGATGGGCATTTGGGTTGATTCCAGGTCTTTGCTATTGTAAACAGTGCTGCAATGAACATTTGTGTACGTGTGTCCTTATAGTAGAACGATTTATAGTCCTTTGGATATATACCCAGTAATGGGATTGCTGGGTCAAATGGAATTTCTATTTCTAAGGCCTTGAGGAATCGCCACACTGTCTTCCACAATGGTTGAACTAATTTACACTCCCACCAACAGTGTAAAAGTGTTCCTTTTTCTCCACATCCTCTCCAGCATCTGTTGTCTCCAGATTTTTTAATGATCACCATTCTAAGTGGCATGAGATGGTATCTCAATGTGGTTTTGATTTGCATCTCTCTGATGACCAGTGACGATGAGCATTTTTTCATATGATTGTTGGACTCATATATGTCTTCTTTTGTAAAGTCTCTGTTCATATCCTTTGCGCATTTTTGAATGGGCTTGTTTGTTTTTTTCCTGTAAATCCGTTTGAGTTCTTTGTAAATTCTGGATATGAGCCCTTTGTCAGATGGGTAAACTGCAAAAATTTTTTTCCCATTCTGTTGGTTGCCGATTCACTCTAGTGACAGTTTCTTTTGCCATGCAGAAGCTGTGGAGTTTCATTAGGTCCCATTTATCTATTTTGGCTTTTGTTGCCAATGCTTTTGGTGTTTTGTTCATGAAGTCCTTGACTACTCCTATGTCCTGGATGGTTTTGCCTAGATTTCCTTCTAGGGTTTTTATGGTGCCAGGTCTTATGTTTAAGTCTTTAATCCATCTGGAGTTAATTTTAGTGTAAGGTGTCAGGAAGGGGTCCAGTTTCTGCTTTCTGCACATGGCTAGCCAGTTTTCCCAAGACCATTTATTCAACAGGGAATCCTTTCCCCATTGCTTGTTTTTGTCAGATTTATCAAAGACTGTATGGTTGTAGATATGTTGTGTTGCCTCCGATGCCTCTGTTCTGTTCCATTGGTCTATATCTCTGTTTTGGTACCAGTACCATGCTGTTTTGATTACTGTAGCCTTGTAGCATAGTTTGAAATCCAGTAGTGTGATGCCCCCTGCTGTGTTCTTTTTGCTTAGAATTGACTTGGCTATGCGGGCTCTCTTTTGTTTCCATATGAAGTTTAAGGTGGTTTTTTCCAGTTCTGTGAAGAAAGTCAATGGTAGCTTGATGGGGATAGCATTGATTCTGTAAATTACTTTGGGCAGTATAGCCATTTTCACGATATTAATTCTTCCTAACCTTGAACATGGAATGTTTCTCCATTTGTTTGTGTCCTCTCTTATTTTGTTGAGCAGTGGTTTGTAGTTTTCCTTGAAGAGGTCCCTTACATTCCTTGTGAGTTGTATTCCTATGTATTTTATTCTTTTTGTAGCAATTGTGAATGACAGTTGGTTCTTGATTTGGCTCTCTTTAAGTCTGTTATTGGTGTATAGGAATGCTTGTGATTTTTGCACATTGATTTTATATCCTGAGACTTTGCTAAAGTTGCTTATCAGTTTCAGGAGGTTTTGGGCTGAGGCGATGGGGTCTTCTAGGTATACTATCATGTCGTCTGCAAATAGAGACAATTTGGCTTCCACCTTTCCTATTTGAATACCCTTTATTTCTTTTTCTTGCCTGATTGCTCTGGCCAGAACTTCCAGTACTATATTGAATAGGAGTGGTGAAAGAGGGCATCCTTGTCTAGTGCCGGATTTCAAAGGGAATGCTTCCAGTTTTTGCCCATTCAGTATGATATTGACTGTTGGTTTGTCGTAAATAGCTTTTATTACTTTGAGATACGTTCCATCAATACTGAGTTTATTGAGGGTTTTTAGCATAAAGGGCTGTTGAATTTTGTCAAATGCCTTTTCTGCATCAATTGATATAATCATGTGGTTTTTGTTTTTGGTTCTGTTTATGTGGTGAATCACGTTTATAGACTTGCGTATGTTGAACCAGCCTTGCATCCCTGGAATGAATCCTACTTGATCATAATGGATAAGTTTTTTGATTTGCTGTTGCAATCGGCTTGCCAATATTTTATTGAAGATTTTTGCATCTATGTTCATCATGGATATTGGCCTGAAGTTTTCTTTTCTTGTTGTGTCTCTGCCAGGTTTTGGTATCAGGATGATATTGGACTCATAAAATGATTTGGGAAGGATTCCCTCTTTTTGGATTATTTGGAATAGTTTCAGAAGAAATGGTACCAGTTCCTCTTTGTGTGTCTGGTAAAATTCGGCTGTGAACCCATCTGGACCTGGGCTTTTTTTGTTTGGTAGGCTCTTAATTGCTGCCTCGACTTCTGACCTTGTTATTGGTCTATTTATAGTTTCAGCTTCCTCCTGGTTTAGGCTTGGGAGGACACAGGAGTCCAGGAATTTATCCATTTTTCCAGGTTTACTAGTTTATGTGCATAGAGTTGTCTGTAATATTCTCTGATGATGGTTTGAATTTCTGTGGAATCCGTGGTGATTTCCCCTTTATCATTTTTTATTGCATCTATTTGGTTGTTCTCTCTTTTCTTTTTTATCAATCTGGCTAGTGGTCTGTCTATTTTGTTGATCTTTTCAAAAACCAGCTCTTGGATTTATTGGTTTTTTGAAGAGTTTTTCGTGTCTCTATCTCCTTCAGTTCAGCTCTGATCTTTGTTATTTCTTGTCTTCTTCTGGGTTTTGAGATTTTTGATCTTGCTCCTCTAGCTCTTTCAATTTTGATGATAGGGTGTCAATTTTGGATCTCTCCATTCTCATATGGGCACTTATTGCTATATATTTTCCTCTAGAGACTGCCTTAAATGTGTCCCAGAGATTCTGGCATGTTGTGTCTTCGTTCTCATTGGTTTCAAAGAACTTCTTTATTTCTGCCTTCATTTCATTGTTTATCCAGTCAACATTCAAGAGCCAGTTGTTCAGTTTCATGAAGCTGTGCGGTTCTGGGTTGGTTTCTGAATTCTGAGTTCTAACTTGATTGCGCTATGGTCCGAGAGACAATTTGTTGTGATTTCAGTTGTTTTGCATTTGCTGAGGAGTGCTTTACTTCCAATTATGTGGTCAATTTTAGAGTAGGTATGATGTGGTGCTGAGAAGAATGTATATTCTGTGGATTTGGGGTGGAGAGTTCTGTTAATATCCATCAGGTTTGCTTGCTCCAGGTCTGAGTTCAAGCCCTGGATATCCTTGTTGATTTTCTGTCTGGTTGATCTGTCTAATATTGACAGTGGAGTGTTAAAGTCTCCCACTATTATTGTGTGGGAGTCTAAGTCTCTTTGTAAGTCATTAAGAACTTGCCTTATGTATCTGGGTGCTCCTGTATTGGGTCCATATATGTTTAGGATCGTTAGCTCTTCTTGTTGTGTCGATCCTTTTACCATTATGTAATGGCCTTCTTTGTCTCTTTTGATCTTTGTTGCTTTAACGTCTATTTTATCAGAGATGACAATTGCAACTCCTGCTTTTTTTTTTGCTCTCCATTTGCTTGGTAAATCTTCCTCCATCCCTTTATTTTGAGCCTTTGTGTATCCTTGCATGTGAGATGGGTTTCCTGGATACAGCACACTGATGGGTTTTGGATATTTATCCAATTTTCCAGTCTGTGTCTTTTGATTGGTACATTTAGTCCATTTACATTTAGGGTTAATATTGTTATGTGTGACTTTGATACTGCCATTTTGATGCTAGCTGGCTGTCTTGCCCATTAGTTGTTGTAGATTCTTCATTATGTTGATGCTCTTTAGCATTCAGTATGATTTTGGAATGGCTGGTACTGGTTGTTCCTCTCTATGTGTAGTGCCTCTTTCAGGAGCTATTGTAAAGCAGGCCTGGTGGTGACAAAAATCTCTGAGTACTTGCTTGTTCGCAAAGGATTTTATTTTTCCTTCACTTCTGAAGCTCAGTTTGGCTGGATATGAAATTCTGGGTTGAGAGTTCTTTTCTTTAAGGATGTTGAATATTGGCCCCCACTCTCTTCTGGCTTGTAGAGTTTCTGCCGAGAGATCTGCTGTGAGTCTGATGGGCTTCCCTTTGTGGGTGACCTGACCTTTCTCTCTGGCTGCCCTTAGTATTTTCTCTTTTATTTCAACCTTGTTGAATCTGACGATTATGTGCCTTGGGGTTGCTCTTCTTGCGGAATATCTTTGTGGTGTTCTCTGTATTTCCTGCATTTGAGTGTTGGCCTGTCTTGCTAGGTGGGGAAATTTTCCTGGATGATGTCCTGAAGAGTATTTTCCAGCTTGGATTCATTCTCTTCGTTCCCCTTCTGGTACACCTATCAAACATAGGTTAGGTCTCTTCACATAGTCCCACATTTCTTGTAGACTTTGTTCATTCCTTTTTGCGTTTTTTTTCTCTGATCCTGGTTTCTCATTGTATTTCATTGAGTTGATCTTCGACTTCTGATATTCTTTCTTCTGCTTGGTCAATTCGGCTATTGAAACTTGTGCATGCTTTGCAAAGTTCTCGTATTGTGTTTTTCAGCTCCTTCAATTCATTCATATTCCTCTCTAAGTTATTCATTCTTGTTATCATTTTCTTGAATCTTTTTTCAAATCTTTTTTCAAGGTTCTTAGTTTCTTTGCATTGATTTAAAACATGATATTTTAGCTCACAAAAGTTTCTCATTATCCACCTTCTGAAGTCTAATTCCGTCATTTCGTCACAGTCATTCTTCGTCCAGCTTTGCTCCCTTGCTGGTGAGGAGTTTTGGTCCTTTGTAGGAGGCGAGGTGTTCTGGTTTCGGGTGTTTTCCTCCTTTTTGCACTGGTTTCTTCCCATCTTTGTGGATTTATCCACCTGTCATCTGCGTAGTTGCTGACTTTTCGATTGGGTCTCTGAGTGGACGCCCAGATTGTTGATGATGAAGAATTTCTGTTACTTGGTTTTCCTTCAACCAGTCTAGCCCCTCCACTGTACGACTGTTGAGGTCCACTCCAGGCCCTGCTTGTCTGGGGTGCACCTATAGTAGCTGTGGAACAGTGAGGGATGCTACTAGTTTCTTTTTCTGCTATATTTGTCCCAGAATGATGCCTGCAAAATGTCAGTCTTTTGGATAGAGGGGTCAGGGAGTTGCTTGAGGAGACAGTCTGTACTTTATAGGAGCTCAAGTGCTGAGCTGTGCGCTCTGTTGTTCATTCAGGGCTGTTAGGCTGCTACGCTTAATTCTGCTGCCGCAGAACTCATAAAAAAACCCATTTTTTTCTCAGATGCTCTGTCTCGGGGGGGTTGGGGCTTTCTTTGTGAGTGTCCATTGTGCTGTCCTGGCCAGCTAGGTGGCAGTCTAGTCACTTTTTGCCTGCCAAGGCTCCGCCCTGCTGGTGTGAGGTTCGCCTTGTTTCTGCAGGCTCTGCCGTGCTGCTGCGGTCTCTGCCCTGCTGCCACCGGTTACTCCCTGGGGCAGAGTCTCTCTGTTGTGGCAGGTTGCCTCGGCAATGGCAGGCTGCATCAGCAATGGGTGTGTACCTCAGTAGGCGTGGATTGGTAATGGCAGTCTCCCCTCCCCCATGGAGCTGTACTGTCCTGGGTTCAGCTATGCCCGCACCCGGAGCATTTGGAATCGCCATTTTGTTTGTCCCACTGAGCTACCCCAAATGCTGTTTCCCTGGAATCTCCTGGCCTGGCTCACTGTCCAAGTCCCATTCAGTCTCAAGTTCAGCCTTCTCAAGTCTCAGATTGCCAGTTCAAGAGGGCACCCAGACCAGTGCACTTTGTGCGGAGCGCTGTGGAGCGCCGCTGTGCTACAGCGCCGGCCGCCGGCTGCACCAGCCAAAACGTCTGCCTGGCGTCCCGTGTCTCTTTTATACCTGGGAATTTCCCCGTTCTGTGGGCAACAAAGATCTGTCTGGAAATGTGGCCCTGACTCACCCTCCGCGCATTCACCGAGAGCTTCAATCCTGGGTTGTTCTCACCATGCCATCTTGAGTCCCTCCCCAATCAAAAGTTACATTTTATATAGCAGATGTCATGAACTAAGCCCCAGTAAGAAAGCTATTAAGAGCACTCAGAAATGTTTTTTTAGAATCACCCATGAAAATTTCCAAATTAAAAACACCTGTTTCCTAAGGGCTTCTAGCCGCCGTGCTCTCTCTTTGTCTTCATGAGCTTCTTGAAGGGCCGCCTCCTTTTTCTCCATCAAACGCTTTTCCAATAATTCTTGTCTATATTTAACCCTTTAAAAGTAACACAGAAGGAAGTTGTGGAAGCATCATAATAGTATCGGAGATTGTACAGAAAACAGCATATGGGCAGAACACATCTCAGAGATGACATCACTGTCACATTTTGTTTTTACTTGGTTTTTGTTGATTTATCATGTCCAAACAAATAAAAGACACTTGTTTAAATGCAATTCATAGTAATTCTAATACCAACCAGAGAAATGCAGGAAAGTGTGGTGGTAAAATTCCATTTATCTCATTCCTCATTAAAATCACTTTATTAACTCTCAATCTGCCCACTGGCTGCTATAACTCCGTGACTGACTCACTCTCAAGTGAGCTACATTATAGCAGTCTCCCAATGAGAAGTTTTAGCACACATTGAATTGTTAGAAAGTCTGCATTACTGATTAAATATACAAAGTTTTCAAAGGAAAAGTAAAATAAACTGCTACAATAATATGTCTAAATTATTTTATTTACTAGAGCTTAAACTTTACATATATTGTCATCTACATTCTCACTTTCTGAGTTGGGGTGTGTGTGTGTGTGTGCGTGCATGTGTGTGTGTAAGCAACTTTTAAAATTGCACTTTGACATCTGTAGATGGCAGCAAAAACATGACTTTCCCTTAGCATTCTATTTCCAACCCCCTTAAAATCATCAGCTATTAAAATATGGCACGCTTAAATACCAGCTTAAAACCCTGTGCTCCTTGGCCCTCCTCTGCTGCCTTTTTTGGGCAGCCTCCCTTGCCATCTCCTTGTCCAAGCTATTCTATTGAATTATAGAGATGAAATTCATCCTTTCAAAAGAGTAGGCACCTGGGTTCTCAGGGGAGTATTAGCTCTTCACTCTGCCTTCCATCATTGACAGTTTAGATTTAGCTTTCTCTGTGGCATCAGCCACAAATATCCTTTACCCTTAGTGTGCACACCTGCATTTTCCAAGGTAGAGACACCCTCACTGGACCTTTTACATTCTGGATTATTGCATGTTCACCATGCATCAGTTCTTGTGCTAAGTGCTTTTATATGTTTTAGCTCATTTAGACCTCACAACATTCATATGCTGGGGTGCCATATTTTAATTCCCTTTTATGGATATAAAGAAGTAGAAGCATAGACATGTGATCTAAGAGAAGTACACATAAAAGCCACTGAAAATTTGGAGAAAGGTGAGATGTCCAATTGCTGCATTGTGGGAGGGGTTGGCAAAACTTAGCAAGAGCTTCATGGAGGAGGCAGTATCTGAGCAGGGTCTTGAGGATTAGGATTCCAGGCAGAAGAGCAAGTGCAGGGTTGGCATCTGAGAGTGGCCCTCACTTGCCGTGACCAAGTCATGAGGGCCACAAGAGGGGAAGAGCTCAGGGTGGTAAGAACAGAACAAGTGAATGACAAGTGACAGAGAAGCCCAGGCAAGTGCTGGTGGCTGAGGCTGGCAGTCACAGGGTTCCCTTAGGAAGATATGCTCCTGGGGAAAAATACCCAAGAAACAGGTTGTTCATGAGGCTGGGATGAAAGGAGAAGCACAGGAGAGAAAAGGAGGGAAACATGCAGTGGATCCTTGTGGAATACAAAACCTAGAATGGGATTTAGAGGCAAAATCCTAACCTCCTTTGATAGCCATGAGTGTCATTGCCAAAATCAGGAGTCAATATAGTCAAGACACATGGATTAAGACCACAGACTAGAATGCTCCCCTTCTCTCATGTCTCCACATCATGGAAAGCTCTATTTCTCATTCTCTCCACTTTCACTAAGGCATGACATGACACAACCTCCCTAATGAGGTTCTACTCAATTTAAGCACTGAGTACAAGCTAAGTGAACTACTGTGAAGGTTCAATTAAAAAATACCCTGGGATTTGACAATTACCATATGCTAATTCTCAGAAAAGGAAAGTTTCTCTTCCTTTGGGATATATAGGTTGCTTTGTCTGCAACAAAGTTTTTGTCTGCTTTGTGAAAAAGTAATAGTTGTTACAGTCAGGGGAGCTTGACTAGTGAGGAAAAAAATTGCAAAGAGAGAAAGGCATTTGAACTTGTGTGGTAGAGAAGGCTGACTAATCGTTTACTTTGAGGCTCATTCATTCATTTAACAGCTATTTGTTGAGCACCTGCCATGCATCAAGAGCTGTGTTAGGCATTAATGATATAACGTCAACATGGGAGACATGCTCCCATCCTCGAAGAACTGACAATCCAATATAGAAACAAAGACCCAGGCAATTAGGATAAAGGGCAGCTTGTGCTCTGATAGGACAGTGGGGTAGAGACCACGGGAAAGACAGCTTTGCTAGACTGGGCTTTCAAGGCAGTATCTATAATAAGAGGAAGTGCTCTGAATTTGAGATTCAAAGAAGGAGCAAGAACGCACCAGGAGGGGAGAGGATAGAAAGAATGATTCAGACAAAAAAGTAGCATGTGAAGGCCCAGAAATGAGAGTGTGCGGGTATATCTGAAGAACTAAAAGAAATTCAGAATACCCAAAGATGAGCAAAATAAGGTGCAAAGGGCCAAGAACTGAAGCTAGAGAAGCAAGAGGAGCTGGATTGTGGGGGCTTTGAAAGCATGATGGCTTTTGATCAGAGAGAAATATCTGCTGCGATGTGGAGAATGGGTTGTTGGAAGGCAAGACTAGAGATGGGCAATCCAGATGGGAATGGAAGGTCTCCTGCTCTAGGATGGGGGAGGAGTATTCATGGGAAACTATGTGGATTAAAGGATATGTAGAAAATAAAAATCAATAGAAAGTTTTTGTTTATTTTATGGGAGAGGAAAAGAGATAGAGGAAGTTTTCTGTCTTACACAGTGAATAATGGTGTTCCTCCCTAAGGTTGGGAACGTACATGAGAAACAGGGAAGTGAAGTAATTAAGTTTAGTTTGAACACAGACCAGTCTTCACAATACCTGGGCTGGAAAAATACATGGGGACATCTTTACCAGTAGAACGGAATTGAAGCCACAAGGCAGATGCCATCATATAGGAAAAGAGCATAGAGTAAGAAGAGAGGTAGGCCTGGGATTTCCTAAGGAAACAACACTTAGGAAAGGGACAGAAGGAGAGAAAGCCATTTAGGGAAATAAGGAGGATACGTGGTCCTAAGACATTAAGGAAAATGGGGTGAACAACATCAAATGCAGAAAGATCAATTCTAGTGCAAAATAATTATTGGGTTAAACAACAGGGAGTCATTGGTGACCTTGGCAAGAACATCCTGTAGAGGTGGAGGAGGTGAGGTAAGGCAGTAAGAGAGGGCCTGGAGACAAGTCCTGCAGCAAAACTGATGCAAATGGACAGGCAAGAGACAAGGCAGCACTGGAGGGTGCACAGAGCCGACCACAGTGGCTTTGGCTCCAAAGTGATGATCAAGGTTACTCTGACTGCCTGAAAGATTGGCCATGGGAAAATTTCAGGACTTAGGAGACACACTCAAATTCTTCATTTTTACAGATGCTGTGGTTTAAACTCAAATAATACTTCACTTAAAAGGGAGAAACTCTTGGTGCTTCTTTCTTCTACTCTGGATAGAAAATTTTCTTTGCCTAAAGAGAAGTGATGCAGAAAAACTCCTGGGAGGAAGCCAAATACTCACATATTCATGGGGAAAGAAAATAGCAACACAGTAAAGTCAATCATTTGGAAAATTTTCCACATAAATGCTTTTAGCCATTTGAGGTAGCAGATTTTCTCCAAATTAAACTGTTGCTGTGAAAGTCAATGTCAAGAAGTGGCTAAACTCAATAGTTTTTAAGTTGTGCACTGAATTCCCAAACAGCAACCTTCTTGGGTTCATTTCTCAGTCTATTATATGCTCCCCGAGTCTACAAAGGTTGAAAGTGCTGCAAAAGAGGCATTTTCGACTTCTCTTGGGGGAGGAGAAGCATCATATTGTTCAAAAGCAACAGCTGCTGCAGAATCAGGCACAGCACTAACAATAATCTGAAAAGGATTTTATTTAAGCCTCCAGGCCTGAGTTTAGTTGAAGGGACAGTATGCTCTCATGTAGAAATGGAGAATTTATGTATCACTTATGAGACTTTTTAATGTGTGTGCTGCACTCTAAGAAATGAATATATAAATGCAAATGTTTGGAAACACCTTGATGTGTAGTAACAACTTCCCTGTGCTTCACTGAAACTTCAGTAAGAACCGGGCAAAATAATAAGTACCAAATCTTGACTGCCCTTTTATCTGGAGTCATAGCTAACTTTTCTCTAAAGAGAAGCTACAGCCACCAAGGGTAGCTTCTGACAAATGGCCAATAGTGGCAAGTTCTACAATTTAAAACAAAGAAACGAACAAAAAACTTAAGCAATATAATGGAGCATAAAGACATATCTTAATCAGGTTTTCTAACTAGTATGAAACTCCCCCTCACCCCACCTAATATTTCAGGCAAATAGTTTGTACTACTTAATTAAAGGCAGTTTGTAAACAAACTTGCTACTTAGTGTTTAAGTCATGTGATTTATTCAATATGAAAAATAAATCTTTAAACAGGCACGTGCCGGAGGTGCTACTATCAGGTGTTTCAGTGGCAGCATCATGGGGAACCTGTTTCTGCCTGTTGAGAAATTCATTTTTGGCTCAGATTTTACTCAGGAGGTTGTTCTTCTCACCAAGCCGAGGGGACCCCTTCATTAGCTACAGGGCGCCCCAACAGGGAAGAAAGTGTAGATCAAAGCAGGCAGGCCAGGTACTGGCACCTTTTAAGTGAAGGGGAGGTCTGCCCAGAGAAAAGAATGTGAATTGCACAGGCAGATGTTCACACTGAAGGGCATCACCCCTCTAACCACACAGGCTGGGAGTCTTCACTCGTTGGGAATTCTGGCTAAGGGCGTAAGCAGAGACCAATTTCTGCAAACAGGAATGTGAATCCTGACACAAGAGAGTGACATCCTGGTACAGATCGGCATGAGGCAAAAACAAAGAAAACTCACAGGGTCTCTGCAAAACCAGAAAAGATGAACCCATGCCAGCCCCAAACAGATACCATTGTTCCAGC